GTTATAGGTAATACAGGGCCCTGATGAATGCATTGGTTTCATCAATTAGCCTCATAAGGCACCTCAACAATTAAGGATCACAACAAGGTAGACTATAGTCTGACATCCTAACTTTACCAAGGGATCATACCAGCTAAGTGCTCCATACGCTGAAGATAATATTAAATATATGGTGTGTACCCATCCTGTCCATTGGGAGCTTCAGATACAACTCTTGCTTTTTTCTCACCTTCCCAACTTCTTTTATTCCTTCAGTTCCTCCTGATTCTGCTTAGATCCCTGGTATATTTCACACATTAGGGTGGCAAGATATATCAAAGAGTTAAAATGGTAGTTTCACAGAACCTCGATTTTCTGTAGCAAATGCTAATTTTAAACACAATTATCTGAGTGATTTCATAGCATAATCTAAATTTCCTGAATGATTCACATAAAGATAAATATTTCTCTTAAACTCAGAGTTCTAAAACCTTTTTATTTAGGTTGTTTTAAAATAAAAGAGTGATTCTACTGTCTCCCCTTCACATTCTTCCTCTTTCACTTGTTTCTTATTCTTTTTTAAGTATGTGCACTCCCTATCACATTCACTATCAAATCAAGTTTCCAACCAAACATGTTCCAAACCAGTTTGTCTTGTTTTCCAGATATAAATTTGTACACTTCTGGCTCTGTAGCCTTTCATCCATTCAGTTTCTCTTCCCATATCTTCTCCCAACTTGCTCCCCAAATTTCCCCTTTCACATTAGTTCTTAAAAGTGTACATAGATAAATAAGAGTATAAAGCAAATGGGCACATAGCTCTTGGCACTATCTTTTGAATATTAAAATTGAGTAAACTTTTAAAATCTTCCCTGTTCCTTCCAGAAATCCTAAACTGACTACCTCCTCCCTGGAAATACCAATTCTGTAGTAGATTATCTAAATGATTTCAAAGAAGGAACTAAAATTAATTATCAGTGTATGATTATCTGCCCCTGCTCTCTATCTAATTTAAAATATATGCCCCATTTGGGAATCTGAACATGGGAACAATGACACCAAATACTAGGCTAATGAGAAAAATCCCCACCCTTGGTTTTTATTTTGCCTAGTCTTACCAGACCCAAAAGGACCTGCTTTCCAATGTGATAGACTTGCTTTTCTGTGAGATCATAGAGAAGCCCATCCATGGTCATCACATCCTAAAGAGATAGAGAAAAAACATTATATCAAAGTGGCATTAACACATTTGATTTTTTAAAAAGTACAATAGATATAATCTGAAATACAAATATATGAAGGCTAAGGAAAACACACAAAAACAAAGGATAAAAAGCCAAAGAGAGATTGATAGGAGAAGTCTTCAGGCAGAAAAATATCATGATTTATTGGATTGGAAGACTAATGAAGAATAGAAATGAACCCTGGGTAAGAATGACAAGCATATATAAGGTTATCCACTGTCATTTTTCTGGAGCAGTGTGTCTGTGTCCATGTGGTTATGAGCACATCACCTCAATGCATTCTGTCTTTTACAGAAGGCCTATAAAGCACCAATTTCCATGGAATATAGAGTGAGCAAAATAAACATAGTTGTTTCTGCCACTTATTTTGTGTAGATGTGTGACTTATAATCAAATAATCCTATGTCAATTAGAAGCAAATAATCATAAAGAAATTGTTAGAGATGTTTAAGTACCATGAAAGAACTGCACAGAGGGTTAAAAGAGTATATGATAGTAGGATGAAGAGAACTGATCAGTTGGAAAGATGAAGAATAAATGAATATTACCTGCAGAGAAGAGAAAGAAGTAGTTCTGTGTCAAAAGAAAATTATATGAGAAGGACATTAGAATTCCTTTTTCATATGTGTTCAGTTATACAATATAATCAGTATACTGTAAAGATTTATTAATATTGAATTTGCATGTCAGCAAGTGAGGAACTAGGGAAACAGTGGCCCTTCAGAAAGAGGACTATGTAGAGAACTAGGAAAATTATAAGGAAAAGAAATGCCATCTAAGTCTGGAAAATTATGAACATGTTATGGGGGATGGGTGGGTCCCAGGGATGGAATTCAGGGGCAATCGACCACCAAGCCATAACCCCAGTCCTGTTTTGTATTTTGTTTAAGGGTCTCACTAAGTTGCTTAGCACCTTGCTCTTGCTGAGGCTGACTTTGAAGTCTCGATCCTCTTGCTTCAGCCTCCTAAGCTTCTGGAATTACTTATCTCACTGTGCCCAGCATGTTTGTTTATTTTTTAATGTGGGTTTGAGGTATAAAAATATAAAAGCTGAATGCTTTCCTCCTCAATACTAGAACACTAGAATAATTTTAAAGAAAATACACTTAAATAGTAACAACAGAATTAAAATCATCATAACAAAAATAGTTGTTATGTAATTGTCATTATAATAATTTTTACATACATAATGTCTCTGATTTTTTGAGCAATGCTCATTCCCTTATTTTTTTATTAATTAATTAATTAATTAATCTTAATTAAGTATGACAGCAGAATGCATCTTGATTCATTGTACACAAATGTAGCACAAATTTTCATTTCTCTGGTCGTACACAATGTAGTCATACCATATGTGCAGTCATACCTAGGGTAATGATGTCCATCTCATTCTATCATCTTTCCTGCCCACATACACTCCCTTTGCCCAATCAAAGTTCCTCTATTTTTCCCATTCTCCCCACCCTCATTTTGGATCAGCGTCCACTTATCAGAGAGAACATTCAGTCTTTGGTTTTTTGGGATTGGCTTACTTCGCTTAGCATGATATTCTCCAACTAAACTCCAGGATATATAAGCAACCCAATCAATAAATGGGATAAGGAGCTGAACAGACACTTCCCAGAGGAAGATATACATTCAATTAACAAATATATGAAAAAATGTTCAACATCTCTAGTAATTATAGAAATGCAAATCAAAACTACTCTAAGATTTCATCTCACACCAGTCAGAGTGGCAGTTATTAAGAATACAGACAACAATAAATATTGTCGAGGATGTGGGGGAAAGGGCACAGTCACACATTGCTGGTGGGACTGCAAATTGGTGCAGCCAATATGGAAAGCAGTATGGAATGGAACCACCCTTTGACCCAGCTATACCACTTCTCAGTCTATACCCAAAGGACTTAAAATCAACACACCATATAGTAACACAGCCAAATCAATATTTATAGCTGCTCAATTCACAATAGCTAAACTGTGGAACCAACCTAGATCCCTTCAATAGATGGATAAAGAAACTGTAATATATATACACAAGGGAACATTACTCAACATTAAAAGAGAATAAAATTATGACATTTTCAGGTCTCTGACTTTTTGTAATAATTGATTATTCCCATTTTACAGAATTAGAAACTCAGGATCAGTGAGGTAACTTGCCAAAAGTTATAAGCTAGTAGGTGGGATCAAGAGTTCAAACTATGAACACACTGCCCAATATGATAGCCATTAATCACATGTGTCTATTTAAACTTACATTAATCAAGATTAAATAAAATTAAAAACTTGGTTTCTCAATTACACCCGCTACATTTCAGGTGTTCAACAGCACATGTGACTGGGGGCTACCAGTGAACAGAGCAGATATGGAATACTTCAATAACTGCAAAAAGTTCTCTTGGACATTGATACTCGGCTACTGTTATGCTATTATTATATTGTCTCCATGTTTTGTCACTTGTGATGCTAATTGATATGTGAACAGCTAATCAACCAGGTCAAGCTTTGCCCCCTAACACCTCTACTCCACTGCTCACCCGGCGACAGGTCCAGAGAAAGCTGAGCAGGTCCCCCTGGGCCACATCCTCCAACACCATATAGAGTGGCAGCCTATCTGTGCAGCAGCCTTCCAGTTGTACTAGATTCTTGTGTTTCCCCAGGTACTGATAGAACTGGATTCGTCCTACAAAATCCTGCACCTCATGGAGCCCAGCAGGTTCTGCAGAGGATAGAAGAGCCAGGGCAGTGAGCAGTGAGCTCAACCAATTAAGAGGAAACAAGGAGCAAAAAACCATTTCAGATGGTAACTCTCAAGACCTCTCAGAGGAGTAAGTGCAGACAAAAAGTAAATAGAGGACCAATTAGAAGTTAACGATGCTCAATGTCACTGACACTTTATCAAAGATATCATAGACTACATCTTAGAAATGAATAGGCTTTCCTCTTCCTAAATAGGCAAATTTCTATTCTTATTGAAACACTGGAACTATGTGAGCATTTTGATTAATATTCTTGTTTATCTTATCCTTTTTTATTTTATTTATTCATTATTACCAGTCCACATTATGAGTATCAGCAAAAGAGAGAGAGAGGTGGGGGGAGAAATGCAGTATCAGGAAGGAGTATCAAACAGGAAGGAGAAATTTAAAAGCAACCTCAGAATCCTAGTCCAAGAAACATCTAATATGAAACAGTCTATTTTAATAGCCTTAGTAGGTAAAGATAAGTTAGGAATATAAAGACTCGGAAGAATATCATTTTTGTCTCAAGCTTCCACTCTTAATTGCCTTCTTCTATATACACAGTTGTGATTACAATATTTGTTGAAAAATATCTTAATGTTTGCAAAGCTGTTGACATTTATTGTTAGGGGTTCACAAGTGAAAAGTAAAAAGGGAAAGGAAGTCTAACACTTCTCCTTTTACCTTTTAAAGTCTTGAGGACAATATTTTTGGGCTTAGCAGGGTCCCCAGTACACATCTTGGCTCGATAGATGATCCCATAACTGCCATTATAGATCTGCTCCAAAACTTCTGAGACTTGCTCTCGGGGCACCTGCAGCTTAGACAAGGCAGATGTGGAAGCTCTCAGAAAACTTTCCACTGATGTCTCCTGAAGTGGCACCAGAACTTTTCCTCCACGTCCTGTTGCTTCCCAACTTGGACTCCTAGATGGAGGCCCAGCAGCACTGCCTAGAATAAAGAGATGATATCAATCACCAGTTTCTTGTTCTGAGAACTCCAGAAAAGCCTAGAATGAACCAGTCAGGAAGTTCTTTTCGCAGTTTTACCTCTGGTCAATGGAGGGATATCTTCTGATGCTGCTCTATTAATTGGTATCAACATCAAATTTGTAGAACCTTTATAATAATCCCCTTTACTTCTAGGAAAACTCAGGATGGACCCTTGTAAAGTAGTGTCGACATTTTCTTTCTGTCTTTCTCAGGATTATAATTCTATATTCTCCATGGGTATGATATGGAGACAAGGGAGTTCCTGAATAGGTACAAAACCACAGATACTTAAGGGTAGTGGTAATTGCCAGTGGAGACTACCATTTAAGTCAGTCATGTGGCTTCCAAATTTGGAATAAACGTATAGATAACTTCTCTACCATAGCTGTGGCTTATCCTTTCTTCCTCAAGTTATCTTAAAAGTCAAATTATTCCATATTTCATTGAGTATTGGTTTAAGTCTTCTGATACGTTCTGCCTTCCTTAGCTGGCATGAACTTTCCTCCGTTTGGAAAAGAAAGGTTCATTCTTCTCATTAAATTTACCATTACTCGTTAACCCATCCCTTTATTCAACAAATATCACTAGCTATATACCAGATACTTTTCTAGGTGTTGGGAATAGGTGAAGTCATAATTCAACAAGATTACCTTCTCATGATCAGGCAGAAAATAATGAGTCAATAAGTGTTGTAGAGGAAATGACGAAAGAAGAAACATCAGTGATGCTACTTTATCCACAAAGATTTCATTTCAAGAAAGGCCTTTCTGATACAATGACATCGGAGAAAGGTATGGAAGCAATTAGGTAGCAAACCACATTGATGTCAGAAAAAGTACTGTAGGCAAAGGGAACAAGATGTTCAAAGGCACTGAGAAAAGAATATACTTAAAGTATTTGAGAAATAGCAAGGAATCTGGTGCAGCAGAGCCAAGTAGGATTGTTAGAGAGTTGTAAGACATAAGGCAAGAGAGGCTCAGATCATATAAGACCACGGGAAGAGCTTTGACTTTTTAAATTCTGAGCAACATAGAAAGTTATTGAGGTATTTCAAGGAAAGAATTAACAGACTGATGAATGCCTTAAAAGAATCATCTGGCTTCTCTGAGGAGACACAGGCAGGGCCAAAAGTAAGTAAAGCTGTTAGGAGCATATTACTACAGCCTATGAGAGATGAGATTGGCTTAGGTTAACTTTAAAGAGAGTTGAGTGTATCTGCTTATGGGTTGAATATGTGAAAAAGAGAGGGAGTCACAGATACCTACAAGGTTTTAGATGAAAACATAGAAGGCTGGACTTGCGATTTACTTAGATAGGGAGGGTGGTTTTAAGGGCACACTTGTAAGGTAATTTCAAGACCTTGGTTTTGCGTGGATGTATAACCGATGTGATTCCGCAATCTGTATACATGGTAAAAATGGGAGTTCATAACCCACTTGAATCAAATGTATGAAATATCATATGTCAAGAGCTATGTAATGTTTTGAACAACTAATAATAAAAAAGACCTTGGTTTTGAACATATTACCTACAAGATGTGTATTATATTGAAACTTCAAAGTAGTTGATTTAATGTAAGAATCCAGAGTTCCAGGAACCATAATCAGAATAGTAAAAGCATTTGAATCTATAAGAATGAAAATGATATATAAGCATAAAAGTGATTTTAATTTTTTTTCTAAAAAAGTACTTCAAGAAAGAAGAAGCATGAATGTGTTTCAAATGCTTTTGTCAGGTTAAGCAAGATGGACTTGTCAAAATAGGTACCATTAATGAACTTGGAAAGAGTTGTTTTGGAGGATGATAGCTATAACAAAAAGTCTTATTTGGGAGTTCAAAAGAGAATGTGATAAGCAGAAGGGGTGAGTTTATTCAATTCCTTTGAGAAGTTTTCAATAAAAGTGAACTTATGAAACAATTGACATAAAATTTGGACGAAGACTGAGGATCAGCCACTATAGAGTTTTATATCACTGTCAGGATTTATTCTCCTTCTCTATACTCTTAGCTTCCTCCATGAGCTGATTCTCTTTCATTGCATGTTCAATGATACTCCACAAGAACCTCTAAGCCTTTCCTACCCAGTACTTTAAAGACTAGAATGAAGGCCACCCTTTCTCATCATATATTTTTGAGGAATAGAGTAGGGATAGAATGGATCATAGAGTAGAAAGTTATCCTTCAAGGATGTTAATAAAGCCCTGAGCTTTATCTTTTAGACCTTCTTCCTTAATCCTTAGACATTCACATAGTCAAAATTTGCTAGTTCAGTTGGACAAAGAGGACAGAAACAGGTCTCATGAGGCCTCTATTTCCATTTTTCTTTTAGTCAACAGGCACATGTGGAGTTCTAACTCCTGACCTCCTAGAGAAGAGGTCTCTCCTCTCCACTCCAAAGAGGCAGCCCTTGTCTCTGCCATTGAAGGTACCTAAACTCTTGGACTTGAATCTGTTGAGATATGGTTCATCTTTTTTCTAATATTCATCTTTCTTGAGCACAAAGTTTGAGTTTTACCTCGAATTCCAGGACGCTGCTGTTGGGATCTTTGTTCTCTTATAAAAAGCCACAAGATGACTGCAAGAAGGATGAGGAAGAGGCCAACCAGGAGAGTCGGGACAATGATCACTTCATACTGCTGCTCCTGGACCACTGGGCAGGCAATTAATAGCAAGGAAAGAAGATTAAGAAGCCTGACCTGATGCCACACAACTTTCCCTACCCATCAGCCTCAGCCCATTATAGGTGAAATTGTCGGCTCTTCTGCCTTTCACTGCAGTTACATTTAATGTATGTAATAATGGGAGCAACTCTAATCAGAAGCCCCAGTGTTCCTGTTTCTTAACACATCAACTGTATACTATGCTTTTTCTGTCATTTTCCTACTGAGAGAGAGAATGCCACATCTGAATCTCTGATCAGCACTCTCCCTGCCCCACCCTGCAAAGATAATGAATGACCTCTGTCCACATTCTTTTAATACCACTTTATTCATTCCTACTAGAAATCAAAGCATCTTCCTTCTAGAATCTATACAGACTTTAGTCTCCATAATCCTAAAATCAAAGGTCAGGCATTTGTGGCATCTGAACTTACCACACAATTTGTCGCTGAGACTGCATTCCAGTAGCATCCGTGCCATACCCCTCTTCTCACCCATTGCTACAGGGCTGCTGCTTCTCTGCTAGGCCCACAGAAAATGCCCAGAACTCCTCAACCACAACCGTGAGTAATTTCCAAGGATTGAATGATTCTGGGGGAAAAAAATGAAGCACACATAGGAATTTTAAATGTCTCTATGGATCACTAGTTTAGTAAATAGCACCTCTCTGAGCCATCCATTTATATCAGTCCATCTGCCTGATATTCAAATTGAAATCCTTTATTTCCCCCTCTGGCATTTTCCCTATTATACAGTTTTACCGCCCTGATCTAATCTTTCCTTTCATCCTATTGTTACCAAAATTATTTTAAAGGCCCCCTTCCTAACTCTTTTGCTACTATGCTCAAGTACAGGTTCATAGTATCTGTCCTGAACAATTGTTTCTCATGGGTTATGTAAGCAAAATCAACATCCCCTATAGTCTTTAAGTTTGTCATGTTTTCTTTAACTCTGCATCACATTTTTTTTGTTCAGCATAAGAGTAAGATTTATTCAAGTGCAAATAGAAATATCTCCCACAAGGTGAGAGAGACTCCCAATTAGGGGTTGCTCTTTGCATCACATTTTTAAAACAACCATTTCATTTTTATACAAAATTAATTCAGATAGTGAATAAACAGGGTCAGATGTCAAGAGAGATGAGTTATGTGTTTGCTTTCTTTCTCTGAAACATCTGCACCCTCACAATCAATGAACAGATGGCATATATCAATAAAAACTATTTAATCCCTCCGCTCTCAGGGCTTCAATGAGACTCCTCTGCTCATATCACAGACCTGCTCACATTCTGACCAGGACATATATTAAAGTGTCAGTACCAAGCCATCTTCTCTTTCTCCAATTGTCTATGAATAAAAAGGAAATATAGGGGCTGGGGATGTGGCTCAAGCGGTAGGGC